TGATAAGTGTGGGCTGTTTTTATGTCGCCCCCAGGTATTCTTTATGATCAGCATTTCATTGATGCAGGTGTTGCGTTAAACCAATCTCCATACTTGTCATTGTCTGCGATAACAATCATATTTGTTTTTGTCGATTACATATTTTTATGGTCTGAGACCTTCACTTTAATGTCAGATTTCAAATTTTTTTGAAAATGTCAGCAGTCATCCGAATAGTTACTGAAATCAGATTTTGGAATTTTTTTCTGACTCAAATATCAGCCATTCCTGGAATTATTATTGGTTTTCCTACGTTACCGTAGGAACTGAGTTAAAGATATAATTTTGGTTTCTGCTCACTCCTAAACTAAATTTTGTCGACGAGCCGAAAGAGTAGTTTTTGCGTCAGGAATTGTCACATTCTTTCATATTTTCCCTATTTGATTCATGCACATGTATCATAACCTGATGAGCCCAACGTTAACTTATAAAATAAATAGAAAGACGGAACCGTTGTTTACTTAGCTCAGTTAATTTATTCCTGGGCGTTACGTCACAGAAACAATCATTCATCGCATAAATAATTCCTATTATCTTTAAAATTTTAAATCTTCTACTCTTGCATCAGTCGGGACCAAGTGAGTATTGTAATAAATGAAATCACCATGAGTAAAAGCTGTTCCTTGACCAAGTACTGTAATTTTCACTTTATTGTCATCCCAAATATTTTCAAAAATGAAAGTAAAACCAGCATCACAAAAACACTCACAGTAATTTCGCGAAAAAACACTTGAAATTATGAACAAAAAAAACAGGAAAAAATCTGAGAGAAAAACTGTGGCCGAGACGAACGAAAGTCCCACCGACCCGAGAGCGGAAATCGGTCGTCGCGGGAATGTCGCCCGAGTCGGCCGTCGAGAGGACGATGAGGCGGCGATTGTGGCGTCCCGCCCGGCGCCATCAGCAGCAGGGACACTTTTAATACTGCACATGCTTTTGGATATCCAGCGAGACAATCCAGTGCGTGAAATGCACTTCCGCAGACGAGCCGAGTAAACACAAGTTAAACACGACTGCTGATATACTCGGTGACTAATTGGGGCTGCTGTGAGGACGACAAGTTGTTTGTTTGTTGCATGCTGCCTTTCCGGCCCTATTCTACACAGAATGCTTCAGAAAAAAAAATTTTTGAAAGATTTAAGCCCTACTACTTGTATTCAGATCCTTAACTCCCTGATTTAAATGCTTTGCTTTTGAGTGAAAGTGGTAGTACAATATTGTTTGTAATTGCCATACAACCATTAAGCTAAACCAATGCTATGAGTTAAATTTCAAGGGACTGAATAAATCAACTTGAAGGTTATTGGGCTAGTTGGGGTATTTGAATTGATCAAGGTGTGAATATTACATTTTGGAAGTGGGAGTAGCATGCATCGCAAACATTTTGGAAGCATCTGCATATGCTTCGCAACCTTGTAGAAATCATTTTGAGTTGTAAGGATTGGGTTTGGCAAGTGCCTTACCTTGTCTTTAATTTATTACACACATTCACAGCAATAATACATGCTGTTTTTTTCATGAAATGAAGTTGGGAAGTGATGAGAGATGTGAGGGACTCATGTCCACTGTCAGGGTAGCTGGAATAACATTGTCAGGCCTAAGAACCTGGAATAATCTCATCCAATGCCAACTGGCCTTTCCTTGCAGTAAGCAACTTAAATAAACCGTCAAATGCTTTTAGATACCGTATCAGAAATGTATTCCATAAATGAACTAACTGTGATCAAATATTTTGAGAGCTGCGCATGCAGACTCTGCGTGCATTTCCTATTTCTCTTTTCTATCAGAAAATGAGTTAGATATATTAAATCCTCCCCAGGGCCAGCAAGGAAAATTGTTGCTGTCCTAATCTGTGCGGATGTGTGTGTGTATCATGCTTCTTTCTGGGTCAGCCAGCAAGTTACTCAGGTTGCTGGTCAGCCAGCAACCTGCTGTCTGATCATGACAGTCCTTTAAACTCTGGTGAAACTCTTTACTTGTCTGCATTTGTGTCTGAGCTAGCAGGGTTGACTGTGGTTAGTGAAATACATGTATCATTGCCTCTCTACATGAGATTCCTGGCAATACTTTATTCAATTAGCTAAAAAAAAAACCTTGTGGCCCACAAAGCACGCAGAAGACCAATAAGACCAGGATATAATTAGTTATCTAAAGAGTCAAGGTTGGTAGTGATCTTTTTATTAGATATAATAATAAGCTTCACTTAAGGCTCACCAAATCTTTCATCTCAATCAAAAATAGGATAACATAACCTAAAACCTAAACTAAAATAATTTAAAGGAAACGCTAAAATAATCTAAAGGAAACTAAAATAATCTAAAGGAAACTAAAATAATCTAAAGGAAACTAAAATAATCTAAAGGAAACTAAAATAATCTAAAGGAAACTAAAATAATCTAAAGGAAACTAAAATAATCTAAAGGAAACTAAAATAATCTAAAATATTACAGGTAGTACCTTGCACTTTGACCCTAATCTGTTGCAGGACTATAGGGTTGAATTGCAAAGCAAGTCAAATTGCAAGACAATATGAAATGGCATGTTTTCTACATGGCATTTGACATTTTGGAGCTCTCTGCCGGTCAAATTGTGTGGCAGAGGTTCAATTGAGAGTTGACGTCCCAGAAAATTTGACTGTTGAATTGCGGGATCATTGAATTGCAAGGTACCACCTGTATAAACATCACAAAATTCAGTATACTTCAGTCTGGCAGACAATGTTCTTCTAATTTCAGCTTGATGACAAGAATCTGTCATTGGAATGATGATGTTATTCCACCATCCTCACTAGCAGTGGACACATCTATGTTGAAACACCATTATAGTAGATAGATTTGGCTCATTAGACAGGATGGAAAACCACATCCATGAGACAAAAATCCGTTATCCGGGAGGTATGTTAGGCAGGGGTTGACTGTAAATATATTCCAGAACGTTTTCCACTGGATAAATACAAATTTTTAAAAGCATTCTCAACTATCAACTTTTTAATTTGCCCCACATTTTTCCAATTGTAGTCATAAGGTGAACAACTTTTCATCAGGTAAAATGCAAAACATAAACAGCACTGATCTTCTCGACATATTTTAAATTGAAGAGTAACATAACTTGGAACTTTGCCTGCGCAAAATAATGGATCATTCAATTTTGTTGGATAAATGATTATGAAAGGGAACAATTTTCAAGGCTTCTGTTTTCTTTATTTAAACCTAGAAAATTGCAACCTTGATCAAAATGAGTGAAGTATTTGATGTGTAACACTGATGGAGTATTTGAACCAATTCTCACTTGTTGCCATGAGCATATTCGACTATAACTGTTGAACCATAGCAAAGTTCTACAGAAAAAAAAAATTGGCGCTCTCAACAGTTTTCGCCATTTCCAGGGTTACAAACCTGTTTCATTTCGGATTGGACAATGCTTTTGCGGTGTATGAAGTATTGGGACCACATCTGGAGGCTTTTTTTTTCCTTTTTGTCTCCCAGGAAAGCATAGTTTTAATCGTCTCACCCTCATATCTCAAGGAAGTCAATTTCTTTCGAGGGATTCACCAAATGTTTGGTGTGTTGATTGAGGTGTTTTTTACAAGGCTCGATCCTCATTCAGTCCTCATACTCCTCAAAGTGAGTGTCCATGTTGCAATGGAAAACTGATCGAAATTTTTGGTAAAGTAATTCTAGACATCTTCCAGTACAAAACCACAAAAGTTTTTCATTCTCATAAAAAAATGCAAAATTATAAAGCAGGCAAAACCCCGAAAAAAACATCTCGTTGAATAATGTTATTACAGACAAATAATCTGTTCCAGCGTATTTAACGAAATCATTCTTAATTCCGATCGTTGAAGAACCCTTGATGGATCCAGAACAGCTGCACTCACGATTCCTCTTCATCTTGAATCATCTGGAAACGATTTAAAAAAATTGCCCGTATGATCCACGTAACGACAAAGAAAATATGCGACTCATAGAACAACAGCACAATTATGACGAGAAAAATCTCTTCATAGAAACGACATCTATTCGTGGACGATGCATTTGGACGATTCAAAAATGTAAAATGTTTTGAAAATGAACTTGCTCAAATTTGGACATACTTTCTCCAATATATGGATTTAAAATTCAGCATATAGGTATATTTCCACTGCTTCATATTCTTCAATTGAAAAACTTCGTGTTGAGGAAATATTCTTACAGTATAGTAGGGTATTCATTAGACACGGAAAACTTGGGTTACCATGGATAAAGATCAGATTGAGACACATTTTTATTCTATACTTACAGTAATGCTATCTATAAGCCTTTCATAGAAAACAGAAAAATGATATTCTGAGCCACATTTTAAATTCTGCAGAAATGGAAAGAAAATAATGCTGGAAAAACCATTTATGAAATGAATTTTCCAGATTCAGAATATTGGATCAAGTTTTGTTCGATATTTTTCAGATTGTATTCCATTCATGGGATTCATTATTTGAGTTCACATTTTTTACAAAAGTGAACAGAAATCACCAACTAATTTAGCAAAAGAATATGAAATCAAAGGTAATGAAAGAAATTGAATCAATGGATGAAAGGCCCGAAATTGCTTTTGGAAGACGATTTCATCATTACTCGAGAATCTGTGAAACTGTTTCTTCTCTGATAATCCTTCTTGAAAACTTTCCATTTTCTCGAAGATATTTGATTTAGTTGAATCACAGCAACCACAAAAATGGGTTTAAATGTCATTTTTTCTAATAAAAACGTCACAATTTCTATGTCAAATTTTTTTGCAAATAAAAACGTCGCAATTTCTATGTGTATCTCTGGGAGCCAGTTTTTAGTTTACAGAACATCATTTTATATTAATACCTGTCTTTTGTGCATAACATTCACTGTAATGAGTTCAATCTCAGATAAAACACGTATAGAAACCAATCATCACGTATTTGAACAGACCCTATAACCTGCATTTTCAAATCACTCCTGTACCTCGACTGCGGCGGCGTCCAGGGCTCGGAAAACGGCGTCCCTGAAGGAAACGTCGTCTTCCAGAAGGTCCTGCTGTTCCAGTTCCTCATCCCCAACTCCGTCCATGAGGTCCAGATGTGCCACAATGTACTTCTCGTCCAAGTTACCCAGGGTGTCTGTGAGGTTCCTGCCCATGGACATGGCGCCCTTGACGGCGGTGGTGGCGGCGTCGAAAAACGCGGGGATCATGCGGCGGAACAGCTCGTCGAAAAACTTGGGCGCCGCGATGTTGACCAGGGTTTGCATCAGAGTCGGGCCTGATACACCACCTGGGGAACCTGCTTGGCGCGTGTGTGCAGCAAGCATGCCTAGGTGTCGCTCGAAGCTTTGCCTACGAAAATCACCAAGGCGATGAGGAGAGAGACAGAGGTGATGGGAATAAATTGGGAATTATAGCTGTGGACTTCCAATAAGTCATGAGTTAGTGCATATATACCAAAGGCAATCTTCTTGAAGCTATTAATTGATGACGTAAATCAATTGACATTATTAATTAATGACATTAATTAATGTCGTAATCA